TTCACACTTTAGCTTGTGAGATCAGCTACTTACTTCACAAATAAAAAATGTCACACGTGATGGTCTATCCGCAATAAAGATATCCGCATTTCGTTATTACCTACAACCATGAATTATTTAAGATTCCATCATATGTAATTTGTATCTCACAATCACAACTCCTTGTGATTAACAAATTACTGAAACTTGAATCTTCAAACTCTATTATTTAACATTATTCATCAGAATATTAATTTAAATAAATAATAGATCTTGCAAAAAAATAAACTCATTAAATATATTAAAAGTGTTTACAACCTAAATCGATTGGATCTAAGACATAACACTTACAATTCGGAGATGGAATTACCTCTCGTTCACGATCTGCAATCTTCCTTTAAACAGAGATATTAAGCGCTTCCATGATCTACGAAAAATATTGTTAGTGAAAATCTGAAATAGATTACGATTAGCTTCAAAGTATCCATCAAGTTTTGGTTCAACTTGTCCAATGTTACTGATAGACCATTCACATCAGACTTAATCTCACGCACAAAAAAAAAAGAAAAAACAGCACATTAGCATTGGTGTTGATCTGTTGGATGTCTTTACCTTACTAGACTTACACTTTTTTTCTTCAGTGTCCTTAAATGTCCATTTGTTCAATTCAGGTTCAAATGGTAATAGATTTTGGTGCCTGATAAGTTGGAGCTAAATTAAAGTTCTCCAAATCACATGCACCTTAAACCTGAAATGCTTTCAAACATCAATAGTGTCTTTGGGTATAGTAGCAGTAAGCTCTCTCACCAAAACCTTAGAGGTTCCAAGGTCAAATCCAGCAATTTTCTTATATTGCGCTTCATCACCAACAGTTAATTGGAGAGATTTCATAATCTTATCATAATGAGACTGACAATTAACATTTGAGAACGGATAATTGAATAGATTAAGTTCCACAGTATTTATTATAAGATATTTAGTTCCGAATTGGATTGAATATTTGGACCTAAATCTTCACCGAATTTCCCTTTACCTTTTTCTAGGGATGGCAAATGGGCCAAGTTGCTCTAGACTAAACTCATCCTGGCTCGGCCCATAGCCATCTCGGGCTAGTTTTGTCACGAGCCGTGTGCTGAGTCAAGTTCACATATTTTCATAAGTTGGCTCACAGGTGCAAGCCGACTCGTGGATCAACTCATTTTCTCCTCATTTTTGTACTTGTTTTATTAATATTAGAAGAACGTGAATACATGAGGTTTTTTTAGATGAAATGAGGTGAAATTTTGCAACCCATCTCAATAGAATATCCGCATTGAACCTATTCAAGATAAATTTATGCCCACATCACCAATAGTGCCTTAAATCAGTAAGAGACAAATGAAGGTCTCACCATCATACCAATTGACTTCTTGGCAACAGATCGACAAAAGGAT